CATTGCATCATCCAGGTGGGGCTGCACACTGGTGGTGGTGGAGGGGAGTCCCCATTACCTGTAAAGCGCTTTGAGTGGAGTGTCCAGAAAAGCGCTAGACAAGTGTAAGCAATTATTATTATTATAACTGTGTTTTTCTGTGCTCATTCATTTTCATTTCTGTTTGTTGCAGACCCATGTAATGCAGATGAATCCCAGTGACCAGACTCTGACATTATCACCTGTTCAAAAGGAAAAGGTAAGTCATGGGCTCAATTAAAAAATCCTGTCCTGATCAGCTCAGCAAATCCCCATAAGGTGGGTGCCATCTTTGAATTTCAGTTAAGAAGTACAAAGAGTGACAAAAATAGAAAGAAAAAAAATTAGTTATGTTTTAACTTCGTTTATTTTCTGAATTTGAAATTGCCAGTTGTTTGTTTTATATCCTCGGTTTGCCAGGACAAGGTCTGTGAATGCCCCTCTGCTGCACACCATTTCACATACAGTGAGCTTCATAGTGTGTTACAGGAGAGTTAGCTTGGATTGGAGGAATGACGCGTCTCTCACTGACAGCAGAGGGAGGACACTATAGCCAGCCCAGGGCCCTCCTGTTGAAATTGAAAGAGGCCAGTTTTGTGCCATGCTAGGGAATTTTTCTCAGTTTGCTGATGACAGCCCAGTTTTGGCCCGGTGGTGTTTGAACAGTCTCCACTATAGGATTTAATTTGAGTAAATGTATTTAATAAATTGTTATTTATTATTATTATTTTAACCACATTTATGGACGTGGTTATTTGTTTGGATTTGTTGGTTCTCAGCCTCAAAACTATCAAAGTACAGTAAATGGTTCTCCAATATGGGTTTTTCCAGTGCAGATTTTTATACTTGATAAAAAATCAAATAAATATCTGTCACACATGAAAAATCTGACTGGGCATGTTTATATGTGCTCTGCCTAAAATAGTATCTAGAATCTTCTAGTAATGTCTTCAACACCCTTGCACAACCACACATTCCTCTCTCTCTGTCTCATGTACACTGTCACGGTGAGTAATGTTCATGGTTGTGCAGACTACGATGAATTCATAAGTGTTGCCTGCTATATTAAATTAGGTAAATTCCAAAATTTCCTTTTGACATTTTCATGGAATACTTAAAGTGCTGCAAGTTCCCTTTTCTTTGGAGGGAAAGTGAATTATAAACCTTAGTTTTCACTGGAGGCAATTTTTATGTAATTTGTAATATCTTTTTTTTTTTGCATACTACCTATATAAATAATCGGTTCTACTGGTGAACAAGAAGCAGGACAGTAAAGTTTTCCTCACTTCAGCTTCATTGAGTCGCTCTCTGTTGCTACTTTCTGCTTGTTTTGTTTCTCTACACCTGCAGTGACAGCCTTTTTTAATTTGTTTTCCAACAACTTCTGTGTCTGTACTCTGCTTTTTCTGCATGCTTATTAATTTCTAATATTTTCCTTCTTTTTGTCCTCTGCTTCTCATGGTGGGATAGAAGAAAATTAGAATGGTGAAAAGGCATGGTCCAACAGGGTCAAAAGGACTGGGTCCTTCGTTGGAAAGTCAGTTCCAGTCTGAGCGAAAAGCAGCTACAAAATCTAGGCGTCCCCTTCCTACTGAATTACTGAGGGCGGCTGGGTCGATGCCCGTGCCTTCAGCTGCTGTTGTGGTGGACAAAAAAAAATTTAAAGAGAGTGCTTTAAAGAAAGGTGGTGACAAAGAAAATATTAGTACAGGCATGAACAAAATAAAGTCACCATTAAAAGCTAATACAGATAACTTGAAAATGGGAATCCAGTTACCAGACTTGGAAGAAACTAGTAAAGATGAGACGGAATACAGCAAGCCCATGGTAATGAAAAGCAAGTCAAAACTTAAAAGGGTCATTACTGATCCTCCAAGCCTTAGGACTGAAGTTAAAATAGTAGGCACCAAAAAGCCTTTAGTGAAACCAGATGAGGACCAGATACTCTCTACAACAGAAAGCTCTTGTGTACTGCAAAGTGAAAAAACAATCAGTTCAAAGCCAAGCCGAGCTGAAATTGCAACTAAAGTCACTTTGTCATCAGAAAGTAAGAATCAAGGTTCTAACAAAAAGAATAAAACTGAATCAGAACAAGGAGGCATTGTTGCAGGACACCATGGGAGACTAGAGAGGAGAAAGGAAAAAGTGGTTAAAAAGCCAAACCACACCCAAACAAAGATAAGCGTGACCTCTGTTTCACAAAGCACTGGATCAGAGAGAAGTCCCAAACGTGTGTCAAAAAAGGACGTGAAGAAGGCAGCTCAGTCAAACC